TTTGACTTAGCTTAAATAGCTAATTTTATAATGCGAGGAAAGCGACGAACAGTTGCCGAATCGATAATACTTGTGCCTTTCATGTATAGGGTACGAGATTCAAATCTTTCTGTGGCAATTAATATTTTGAATTTTTTTAGAGTTAGAATAAAATTTTCAAATCATTTGATATTTATTTCATTTAGATTCAATAACTTCAATAAATATTAAGGATCCTATCACTATAGTGTCCCCTCGTAAGAAGAAATTTATATTCACGTTAATATTATTTTATTATGTGGTTCTTTTTGTGGCTACGATTTATTTTGCCAACCCTCACTAGACCTACTTTTTTCAACGATACGTCAAATATTTAAGTTAATGATTAGTTTAAGTTATTACTCTAAAAAATCGAAAAAATATTCCTTATTTAAATAAAAAGTAGCATAAGCAGCTTTTTCCATAAAGACAATTAAAATCATTAATTTCTAATATTCTTAAAGTATTTATTGTCAAACTAGATTTGATATGATAAAAGTATTCAATTACAAAAGTAAATAATTTTACTTTGTAATTTATTCATTTTTTAACTCTATTTGTGTGTCATACTACCAGTCTATAATATTACAAATTTTTTTGTAACATGTTGCTATATAAATTATAAATTGAAAAAAAAATGATTTTTAGTTTCAACTGAATTTAACGATGAATTTTTACAATTATAATCAAATTTTATAATAAGCTCAATTGAGTAAATCTTTTTAACAATTTTTTTAGATATATAATCATTAAAATTAATTAAATTCTAAATATTTCCATTGTAGAATCTTTTTAAACACCAAAAGTTAATTAGAAATTATTATTTATTTATTACGATAAAAATGTTAAAAATTCGAACTTTACTGATAAATGTACTGTAAATAGTAATTATAAAATTTCCTGATTGCATATTAATCTTAACAATTTAAATTTTTTTCNATATAAATTATAAATTGAAAAAAAAATGATTTTTAGTTTCAACTGAATTTAACGATGAATTTTTACAATTATAATCAAATTTTATAATAAGCTCAATTGAGTAAATCTTTTTAACAATTTTTTTAGATATATAATCATTAAAATTAATTAAATTCTAAATATTTCCATTGTAGAATCTTTTTAAACACCAAAAGTTAATTAGAAATTATTATTTATTTATTACGATTTATTACCGATTTTAATGAATAATTTGTCAAAAGATCACAAATCGTATCTAGTTGAAGACATTACCCTCAAAAATTGAAAAAAATTCCCTCGTTCCCCGTAAACGGGGGAATTTCCCCAAAAAATTACAAATTTAAAAATCGCTAATTTTCGATATTTTTTCAATTTTTTTTACTTAAAATTGCCATAACTTTTTTAAAAATGATCGAATCAATATAATTTTTTTTTTTATAGATACCTTAGATAATTACCTATCATTTTATATATTTTTGTGAACATTTGACCCTTTAACAGCCCAAAGGATGGGGTTTCAAAATGGTAACTTTTTTACAAAAAATTAACTTTTTCAACTTAACTTTTGAAAATGTTCCGGAAAGACTGACACTTTTATATATATCTTAAATTAAAGCTTATGTAATATACTTTAATTTGAAAAAAAAAAATTTGACCTCTGGATTTGTCTTCTCGGTAAAAATGACTACCGTATTCAAAAATTTGCTATTTTTGTGTTAAAGTTCTTGATATTATATTTTACATTTTTTAACATTATGTTGCTATAACTTTTTAAAAAATGCATGAATCAACTTTATTCTTTAATGATAAATACTTTATATATACTTCTTTCATTCGACATACTTTTTTTTAAAATCGGACCATTTCCCTTTATACAGGGGGGGTGCAAACCTTTTAAAATGCGTATAGAAAGTAGAACTTTTTCAACTTAACTTTTGAAAATGTTCCGGAAAGACTGACACTTTTATATATATCTTAAATTAAAGCTTATGTAATATACTTTAATTTGAAAAAAAAAAATTTGACCTCTGGACTTGTCTTCGTGGTGAAAACGGACATCAAAGTTAAAGAAAAACGTACGATTTCCGTGAAAAAAATCTCGATTTTATATGTTATATTATTTAATTTATATTTTATATAACTTTTGGAAAAATGTATGGATCAATATTATTATTTTTTTATAATAAATATTGATATACCCCTTTCATCTGGCACGCTTTTTTTGTAAATCGGATCATACCCCTTTAACAAGGGGGGTCAAAACTTTAAACATGCGTATTGTTACTACGATATTTTCAATTTAATTTTTGAAAGTATTCCGGAAATACTGACACTTTTAAATATATCTTAAATTAAAGCTTATGTAATATACTTTAATGTGAAAAAAAAAAATTTGACCTCTGGATTTGTCTTCATGGTAAAAATGACTACCGTATGCAAAAATATGCTATTTTTGTGTTAAAATTCTGGGTTTTGTATTTTATTTTATTTTAAAATACCTGACAAGGGGAGTACAGATTTTCATAAATATTATATAAATAAAAAATTAATATAGCATAGAAAGTTAAACTTATTTAAATTTGTTTACTTTTTTTAAGTCGAGAAAAATAACTTTGAAATTTGAACTAGCTTAAAAGNTTTTAAGTCGAGAAAAATAACTTTGAAATTTGAACTAGCTTAAATAGCTAATTTTTCAACCGACAGAAGCAACGTACGGTTGCCGAGTTGGTAAAATTTATGTTTTACACGCTTGGGGTACGAGGTTCCAACCCGCGTATGGCAATGAATTTTTTGCATTTTTTCTTAATTCTTTTTAAGTTAATATAAATTTTTAACTCGTTTGGTTTTTATCACATTTAGATTCAATAACTTCAATAAAGATCAAGGATCCCATCACTTTAGTCGCCCCTTGCAAGAAGAAATTTCTTATTCGTATTAAAATTATTTTACTATATTTTAAGTTTTCGCTTCGATGCAAAGCTGAGAAGATATTTTTTTGTGACTATCATTTATTTTCTCTGCTCTAACTTGACCTACTTTTTTCAACAATACGTCAAATTACTACAATTCGGATCTATTTATTGGTTATTTTAGTTAAAGTAAAACATTAAAATTAATTCAGTTCATATTTTAATTATAGTATCTTCTTAAACACCAAAAGATACTATGAAATTNGTTAAAATTTACAATTTTCTAGTGGATAAATAATAAATGATATTGTATCAAAAATTATTATATTGTTGTAAAATTAAATTTATATATATATTATGTTATTATAAGTACTGTTTGTTATATTCAGAAGATTACAAAACTTTTTTGCTAAAAACTGGATGATGTTCACTCACGAGTGTTGTTACCCTATACAGGCGTGATAGAAAGAACTCCCTAGTTTGAGATGATTAAATCTTAGTTCGGGTGAAAAAACAAAGTAAGTTACGTCATGAGAAAGCGTCATTATTCCATAGTTATCTCTTAAAAGCCTAGATTTGTTTATTAGTAATAGTTTGTTATAGAAAATGTACTAAAAATGATATTTAAAGAGTAATTTTTGAATTGTAAGGATATTTAAAAATATACTATAAAATATTTTATTTTAAGTTACAAGAATCTATAAATTTACAAATATAGAGTAAAAAATTAGTAATAAAAAGATGACTAAAACTTACTAGCTGGTAAGGGTGTATTTATGAGGAGCACATGCCCCTCGATCTCATTCCCAAAGTTCATGAAACTACTAAATTTTACCGAAAATGTATAATTATAAAAATCACTGATTTTAAAATGGAATTGTTTAAGTAATTTAGAAGTGAAAATATTTGTTTTCAATACCCGTTTTTACTCTACATTTAAAAATTTTCAAAACGAGGACTTCTTTCTTACGCACTGTATTTGAAGTATAATATGTTTAAAACATTTATAAAATTATTGTAAATAAATTGTTTATAAGCAAATTGCTAAGTTAATAAAGTTTAATATAATTCTATGTTGATAATATAAATAACCTACTTTTTTCATCAAGTTGGATAGTATTGAAATTGGGAATATCCTTGATATTAATTCTGGGTTTAATATCCAAGAGTTGATCTGTTAAGCTTCGACTATCGTCTTCTTCATCATTGCCAAACATTGGCCACTCAATATCAGCTCGAATTAATCCATTATTTTCCAGCAGTGTACTTAAATGTTCAAAAATATAGGCTCCATCAGCAGAAAAGTCCGAAGATATGCTACATGAAGATTTTTGATCCCTAAAGTCAGCATTGCTTTAAAAAATTATATGTTTTTAGATATTTTATAAAAACAATTTACCCAAGTTTGCTATCTGAACTTTGATCAACCTCATTTTGAAATAGCACAGTTGTGTCTACTCTAGGAGATTCTAAGCAAATATTTCTCATTTCTTGTGCCTTTTCTGCATAGTATTCGGCGAGTTTACTTAATCGTTCTAACAAACCAATATATTGGAATGAACTTAATGCCCGGTCTTGACTTGCATCACTCAAATTGCTTTCTAAGCACTTCGAAATATAATTTAAAATTTCATTATGATATTCTAAATTAGTTTTTGACATTTCCAAAATACTTCTTTCTATTTGAACACTCGAGTTTGTACAAGTTGAAGACAAAGGCAAATTTTCAATTTCCAGTGGAGACATTTTCAATAAATTATATATATATTTTATTAATTCTAGGTTAATCCAGGAATTATTGTTTGATTTACTCTTTTTGTTATTTTTATTCCTGATATATTCTTCTAGTATTTTGATAGTGCTATTATAAAAAGATTCTGGTAGTCCTGCATGTATTTTAGTTTCATTTAAAGAATGACTTTGATCATATTTATCAACACTGCTTACAGAATTTTTATCGTTAATTGGTACTTCATAATGATTTGTGTGAAACTCATTGAGTAACATACGCTTCTTTCGCTTAATCCAATTAAGCATATTGTTAATATTTTTTAATGATCTTTCTAACGGTGTCGAATTTTTTCTGTTCCTAGTGTACTGATGCATACATTGTTTGCGACAAATGTCTGAGTATGTACCTTAACAAATATAAATATAGTTAAAAAACAAAATTTTATTAAGAATTTGTTGAAATTAACTCTTTCAGATTCAAAATTGAATATACCTTCATTTTTAAACTATAAACTGGGTAATTACAAAATTTTAAGAAAAAAGTCATTTAATATTTACATTGTTAATATACAAAATATTCATAATACTTTTTCTATTTTGTGCAGTAGTTCCTCTGTAAACAAAAATTATTTTAAAATGTTTAAAACAAACCTGAGATGATATAAAATATTTTTGAAAATAATTTATCAATACAATTTATATAAATGGGGTATACTGTATATATTTTTTCAAAGTTATAATACGAACTTTATTCACTATATAAATTAATTTTTAAGTTGTATTATTATTAATCTATAAAACATATTGTAAGTATGATTTTTTTAAACTATAAAAATGTTTTATTAGATGTAATTAATAGATCTTTCAATGTATTATTTTGCTATAATAGTTTGGTAGAAGATGAGATATTAATAAAATATTCCGACAATGAAGAGCTCTTTTGAAAAAGTGGTAAATTATTATTTTATCAATTTTGTTTATTGAAAATAATAAAAATGATAATTTGACCAAATTAAAAATATTTTTATAATTAATTCAGAAAAACTATTTTTTTCCCTTCTCCCCAATGTTTTATGAGGTTCAAATCAAACCTAATTTTTCCTAATAATATTGCTTAATGATTTATCTAATGTTCTTGTATTATATCTATTTGATTGTATAGAAAATCAAAAAAAATTCTACTCTAGTTAAATATATGCTGTATAACTGTAATAAAAAACCATTTGAAAAATGAATTAATAAAATTTATTGAGATCATATTTAATATAACCTTAATGGTAAAAATTGATGAATTTTTTTTCAAGAATTAAATTTTTTTTATATCACCAGTCCTACTAGATTAGATAACACCATAACTCAGACAGATAAAATACCTTGAAACTTAAATATGTATAATTATTAGGTGTAGCTAAAAGGGGTGGTATAGAAGAAATGCCCCTCACCAAAAAAATAATTATTTTCTCTAAACACATCTCTATTTAAATAATAGTTCTCACTTTAATTAAATAGTGATATGCTTCATCCAAAATTCTTTTTGGATCCATGTCTGATACTTACGTATAATAATTTTCATTCATCAGGGTAGGATTTGTAAAGTAACATTTTGATCAGCCACACTTATAATACTATATGTTAGTGATTCTATAAAATATAAAACCAAAAATATCTGATCATTTAAACACCAGATAATAAATTTCAATTTGAAGAAAGTATTTCTAAAAATATTAAAAACATTTTTTTTAAAGATTAATACAAGAAATATTTATTTTAAATACATTTTTTACAAGTTTACAAATTAATTTTAATTGAAAATAGACTTTTGACTTTTGATTAAAAATCAAAATCAATAATAATTTGAAAACAATTAATTTTAAAAATTATATACTATATAATTAAAAGAATTACCAATCTGGGAATAATTAAGGAAATAGAAGTTGATGTTGCTTTTGGAATAATCGATCAATTTCTTAGAATTAAACACTATCTACAGATTTGCATCGAAGCGTTTCTTATGATAGTGATTTTAATCACTGTCAGATTAAATCTATACTGGACCCAACTATGCAACGTTCCCACTATGCCGCAACCCCATTGTGCTGGGTTTTTTTTATTGTTGTTAAAACGTACTGACTTCATAATAATTATCAAAATGAGTTTTATTTATTGTGTATTTATGATATGTATATTAATAGCTACAAGCAATTTATTTTATGATTTATCAATAAACATAGATTTGCATGAAAAATATTTTTAAATACTATTTTTTTTAGGAAAAATTAGTAGTGTTATGGTGAAAATATATAAAAATGAGCCCTTTCCATCATAACGTAATGAAAGGAGACAAAATTATAAATAGCTAGAGGCGGAAAATATGTGAATACATATTTATATAACATCTGTATATTTAAAAATTGAATATTAATAGGGGAGAATATTATCATTAGTATAGATGTATAATTTTACATAGGAACTCATTAACTTCAAATCATATTAATCATAAAAATTAAATTTCGTTGAACATTTTATTTGAAATTTTTTATTTTAATACTTGTGGCAAGTATTTATATATAAACAAACCCAGCATAGTGGGGACATGGTATAGTTGGATTTAGTTTAGATTTAATCTGACAGTGATTAAAATCACTATTACGCTTCGATACAAATCTGTAGATAGTGTTTAATTTAAAAAAAAATTGATGGATTATTCCAAAATCAACACGATTAACTATTTCCTTATTTACATACTGATTGCAAGTTTTATGATTTATAAGTGTAATATATGAATAAATATTAATATAGCAAATTAAATATAGTATGAAATTGATATTTAATAATTTTATATTGTATTATTTACGGAGAAATTATAAAAAATTATTAAGTAGTTATTTTATGGCAAACGTATATAAAAGTTAAAAATCATTATGTAATACTTAAAAAAAATTATTTATTTTTTATAAATAAATTTACTGGTCTACAAGGAATTTTTATTAGAGACCAATATATATTTTTCTAAACCCATTTTTGCGCAAATTTCAAATCTTCAATTAGAGTTTTGCATATAGCCTAAATAATAACAAAATTCTTCTAATTAGTATAAAAAATATTTATGTTTGATTATTAGATAACATATAAATAATCAATGTATATATTTTAAATTAAAAATAAGTTGTAAAAGTTCTACTTTTTATACGTATTTTTAAGTTTTGAACCAGCCTCTATAAAGGAAATGGTTCGATTTAAAAACATATGTAGTTTGTGTACTTGGAAGTCATATTTCCAATAGTGTGTAGATAACTTTATTAATAATAAAATATTAATTTAATTAAGTCATAGAATTTGTCCGAACATGGTAAGAGACATTAGGGCCGGTCTCACAATATGATTTCCATAATCGCAATTAAAAAAAAATTGGAAATGGATGTAATATATTCGTCTTGAAATATACTCCATTAAGACCAATACAAAGAATAGTCTAGGGATAATAATAGATGAGGAGATGAAAAGTAAAGTATTAGAAATAGCTAGGAAAAGTGGCAGAATTATAGTCCTAAAATTGATATTCGAGGAAAAAGTGCTGAATGTAATAAATGCCTATGCACCACAAGTAGAATGTGATAAAATAGACAAGGAAGTGTTTTGGAGAGAGATGGATGAGGTGATACAAGAAATATCAAGTATTGAAGATATGGTGATAGGTGGAGATATTAATGGACATGTCAGTAATGAGAAGTTTAAGAGGTATGATGAACTGTATGATAGACTACGAACAAAGGAAGGTGAAAAAAAAGTCTGTAGACTTGCAAAAGTTAGAGAAAAATGGTGTAAACATTATCACAATACAAGGTGTATAAAAAGTGATGACAAGAGGATGCTAACAATAATGACGATGTGGAAAGAGTATTTTGAAAAACACTGTAGAAGGAGTACCCAAGAGACATTAGAGGATATCTAATTGAAGGAGGGACTAGTAAATTTGATTAGTGAGAAAGAATGAAATAAGGATACCTGATGTGAGTGTAGATGATGTGGGAGATCGTGTCAAGTGGTAATTTAGGATAAGGGTTTAGCATTTGGAGATAGCGTATAATTGAGTACCAAGAGAGATTTTAAAATTCTAATTTTAGGGCTATTGCTGTGGAGATCAACTTAGATAGGATAGCATAAGGAACGAATATATAAAAGGGAATATAGATATAGCGTCAATCATGGATAAGATGAGAGAAACTAGACTTAAATGATTCCGTCATGTTATGAAGAGAGAAGATAATTCATTCCTACTCTTTTATAAATCTTCTGCTTACCATGTCTAGAAAAATGAAACTAATTTAATGAAATGTCTACGATGAATACTTAGTTTTTAAATTGTATATCCTAAGAAACAAAAATAATATAATTGTTTTATAAAATAAATAAAAGATTAAATTCATATTTGTAAATAAGTCATTTTTTATTATAAAACCAAACTTTCCGACTGTATTTTAAACGAGTAGACAAACAGTGTTGCTTCAAAATATAGGATAATGTAGTATAGGATAGTAATAATATAGGAATGTTTAAAACAATTTAATGTAACATTAAAAATGATGTAAATAATATATTATTCTTAAAAATTTTGATATTATTAGTAAACTGTATGTAAATTTAACACTATAAAAAATAATAATCAGTTGTGAATCTGAAAGAGCTTTAAATTGAAAAATATCAGTAAGCCGAAAAATTATTTTACTATTATGAACTATAAAAAAGAAAATGCTCACTATTAAGTTTTAATTTTACAAATGTTTTAAGATTTAAATGATAAAATATTTATATTTAAAAAAATTATATAAATATACAGTGACATATCGTATGATATGTCATAATATATCAGTGGCGTACCCAGAATTTTATAATGGTAGGCAAAGTTCAAAAATGAGCATTTATTGCTCATCACTTTGTTTAAGAGATAATTATTGTTATCATTGGGGTGACATAGGATCTGCAGCCCCTGGCTGCGCCACTGATATTGACTTAAATTATTTTTAGGTAACATCACCAATGAATAAACAGTTTTTCATCTTTAAAGTTCTTTAATGATTTATATTATGATGTTACACTCATAAAATTAAGGCACATTTGTTCTTTAAAAGCTATATGATAATGTAAGAATATTTATAATTAGCTTGTACAAACATATTATTAATTATTTTATGTTAAAATTTACAATTTTCTAGTGGATAAATAATAAATGATATTGTATCAAAAATTATTATATTGTTGTAAAATTAAATTTATATATATATTATGTTATTATAAGTACTGTTTGTTATATTCAGAAGATTACAAAACTTTTTTGCTAAAAACTGGATGATGTTCACTCACGAGTGTTGTTACCCTATACAGGCGTGATAGAAAGAACTCCCTAGTTTGAGATGATTAAATCTTAGTTCGGGTGAAAAAACAAAGTAAGTTACGTCATGAGAAAGCGTCATTATTCCATAGTTATCTCTTAAAAGCCTAGATTTGTTTATTAGTAATAGTTTGTTATAGAAAATGTACTAAAAATGATATTTAAAGAGTAATTTTTGAATTGTAAGGATATTTAAAAATATACTATAAAATATTTTATTTTAAGTTACAAGAATCTATAAATTTACAAATATAGAGTAAAAAATTAGTAATAAAAAGATGACTAAAACTTACTAGCTGGTAAGGGTGTATTTATGAGGAGCACATGCCCCTCGATCTCATTCCCAAAGTTCATGAAACTACTAAATTTTACCGAAAATGTATAATTATAAAAATCACTGATTTTAAAATGGAATTGTTTAAGTAATTTAGAAGTGAAAATATTTGTTTTCAATACCCGTTTTTACTCTACATTTAAAAATTTTCAAAACGAGGACTTCTTTCTTACGCACTGTATTTGAAGTATAATATGTTTAAAACATTTATAAAATTATTGTAAATAAATTGTTTATAAGCAAATTGCTAAGTTAATAAAGTTTAATATAATTCTATGTTGATAATATAAATAACCTACTTTTTTCATCAAGTTGGATAGTATTGAAATTGGGAATATCCTTGATATTAATTCTGGGTTTAATATCCAAGAGTTGATCTGTTAAGCTTCGACTATCGTCTTCTTCATCATTGCCAAACATTGGCCACTCAATATCAGCTCGAATTAATCCATTATTTTCCAGCAGTGTACTTAAATGTTCAAAAATATAGGCTCCATCAGCAGAAAAGTCCGAAGATATGCTACATGAAGATTTTTGATCCCTAAAGTCAGCATTGCTTTAAAAAATTATATGTTTTTAGATATTTTATAAAAACAATTTACCCAAGTTTGCTATCTGAACTTTGATCAACCTCATTTTGAAATAGCACAGTTGTGTCTACTCTAGGAGATTCTAAGCAAATATTTCTCATTTCTTGTGCCTTTTCTGCATAGTATTCGGCGAGTTTACTTAATCGTTCTAACAAACCAATATATTGGAATGAACTTAATGCCCGGTCTTGACTTGCATCACTCAAATTGCTTTCTAAGCACTTCGAAATATAATTTAAAATTTCATTATGATATTCTAAATTAGTTTTTGACATTTCCAAAATACTTCTTTCTATTTGAACACTCGAGTTTGTACAAGTTGAAGACAAAGGCAAATTTTCAATTTCCAGTGGAGACATTTTCAATAAATTATATATATATTTTATTAATTCTAGGTTAATCCAGGAATTATTGTTTGATTTACTCTTTTTGTTATTTTTATTCCTGATATATTCTTCTAGTATTTTGATAGTGCTATTATAAAAAGATTCTGGTAGTCCTGCATGTATTTTAGTTTCATTTAAAGAATGACTTTGATCATATTTATCAACATTGCTTACAGAATTTTTATCGTTAATTGGTACTTCATAATGATTTGTGTGAAACTCATTGAGTAACATACGCTTCTTTCGCTTAATCCAATTAAGCATATTGTTAATATTTTTTAATGATCTTTCTAACGGTGTCGAATTTTTTCTGTTCCTAGTGTACTGATGCATACATTGTTTGCGACAAATGTCTGAGTATGTACCTTAACAAATATAAATATAGTTAAAAAACAAAATTTTATTAAGAATTTGTTGAAATTAACTCTTTCAGATTCAAAATTGAATATACCTTCATTTTTAAACTATAAACTGGGTAATTACAAAATTTTAAGAAAAAAGTCATTTAATATTTACATTGTTAATATACAAAATATTCATAATACTTTTTCTATTTTGTGCAGTAGTTCCTCTGTAAACAAAAATTATTTTAAAATGTTTAAAACAAACCTGAGATGATATAAAATATTTTTGAAAATAATTTATCAATACAATTTATATAAATGGGGTATACTGTATATATTTTTTCAAAGTTATAATACGAACTTTATTCACTATATAAATTAATTTTTAAGTTGTATTATTATTAATCTATAAAACATATTGTAAGTATGATTTTTTTAAACTATAAAAATGTTTTATTAGATGTAATTAATAGATCTTTCAATGTATTATTTTGCTATAATAGTTTGGTAGAAGATGAGATATTAATAAAATATTCCGACAATGAAGAGCTCTTTTGAAAAAGTGGTAAATTATTATTTTATCAATTTTGTTTATTGAAAATAATAAAAATGATAATTTGACCAAATTAAAAATATTTTTATAATTAATTCAGAAAAACTATTTTTTTCCCTTCTCCCCAATGTTTTATGAGGTTCAAATCAAACCTAATTTTTCCTAATAATATTGCTTAATGATTTATCTAATGTTCTTGTATTATATCTATTTGATTGTATAGAAAATCAAAAAAAATTCTACTCTAGTTAAATATATGCTGTATAACTGTAATAAAAAACCATTTGAAAAATGAATTAATAAAATTTATTGAGATCATATTTAATATAACCTCAATGGTAAAAATTGATGAATTTTTTTTCAAGAATTAAATNAAATATATGCTGTATAACTGTAATAAAAAACCATTTGAAAAATGAATTAATAAAATTTATTGAGATCATATTTAATATAACCTTAATGGTAAAAATTGATGAATTTTTTTTCAAGAATTAAATTTTTTTTTATATCACCAGTCCTACTAGATTAGATAACACCATAACTCAGACAGATAAAATACCTTGAAACTTAAATATGTATAATTATTAGGTGTTGCTAAAAGGGGTGGTATAGAAAAAATGCCCCTCACCAAAAAAATAATTATTTTCTCTAAACACATCTCTATTTAAATAATAGTTCTCACTTTAATTAAATAGTGATATGCTTCATCCAAAATTCTTTTTGGATCCATGTCTGATACTTACGTATAATAATTTTCATTCATCAGGGTAGGATTTGTAAAGTAACATTTTGATCAGCCACACTTATAATACTATATGTTAGTGATTCTATAAAATATAAAACCAAAAATATCTGATCATTTAAACACCAGATAATAAATTTCAATTTGAAGAAAGTATTTCTAAAAATATTAAAAACATTTTTTTTAAAGATTAATACAAGAAATATTTATTTTAAATACATTTTTTACAAGTTTACAAATTAATTTTAATTGAAAATAGACTTTTGACTCAGCCATTGGTGCAACTAGAAAATATTTTTCGGAGGCTACATTTTTCCCTAAAATAAAATTTCTTTTATGAAAACATACAAAATCTTTGTGAATTTTAAGTAGTCCATTGAGCAGGTTAATTATGAAGAAAATTTATTATTTTTACATAAGAAAATAATGATTTTTATTAAATTGCTTCTGATTTATATATACAGTTATTATGTTAATTTTTTGATGTTATAACACTAATACAAAAGATAATAATATCTTAATTTGAGGTATATATATAAGAAGGTTCAGGGGAAAAACTGTTGTAGCCAATTTTTTTTTTTATTAGATATTTTATTAGCAGTAATATTAAGTAATGAAATCCATTTGGTCAAAAAAGTTTTCATTTTGTTAGTACTAAAGCATCAATTTTTGTTTTATTACTAAAGGGATATGAATTTATACTACAGTTTTCACCCTTTATCTGTATATATACAGAGTGATTCACTTATTATTAACTACTTAATTAAACGTAAAGTAAAAATAATATTAATACATTTTTTATTTGTTTATTTTAGTTCAATGTTTATCTCAATTTTTCAATTATTAAGTTTTTTTTATGTTTATCATTTATTCCTTGAAAGGGTGTCAACTTTAATTTCTTAATCAGCAACACCCCTAGTTAACTAGTTTATTTAATAGATAATGATCTAATTCAGAAAATAACTGCTTGATAATAACTTTTAGACCATTATTTGGGTAGTTATGAACAATTTATAGTAATAATTGGAGGTGAAGAGTGATTGCTGCAATTTTTATAATTTAACATTTCCTGGTTGTACTCTTCCTCTCACTTAGATATAAAAATGTCACTAACTAAAAATATTGAACTAAAAGAAACAAATAAAATAAATTATTATTACTATTTTTTTTTCGGTTAAATGAGTGGGTCATGATAAATGAATTGCCTATATATATGTGCGTGTGTTTATGATATTAAAGTTTTATAAAATTATAATTATAAATTATTACCATTTCTTAATGTTTTATATTACCTTTAAATTATTAAATCTATGAATGTACTAAGTATTTTGAAGTAACACTATAAAATACATGTATTACTAATATTTTTTGATTTTAAATAAATAAAAATTGATAACATTACACTATTAAAATAAGTTAGTTTTAAATTTTGTTTAAGTTTACTAAGAATAACTAAATTTTAAGATTGGCTCTAACTAAATTATCATTTTAAACAATTTTAAATTAAATTGTACACAATTTTTTTTTATTTTTTAATTACAGTAAGGTCATATTCATATGTCTTTCCACTAAAAAGCAAAAGTGACAACTTATATGTGTTATGGGTAATATGACATGGTGTATCACTGTTTTAGTAATTATGTAATAACTTATGTAAAATTTATACAATAACATGACTCTAACAACAGAAATACATTAATGGAATTTTTATCAAAACCACATTTTCATATTTAATTATTATATCAATTATAATAATTACCTAAATAAGAAGAAAAAATTTGTTAAGAAAATATTTATAAAGTTGGCAGTAAGAGTGGAGTAAAAAAAAATATTAAATTTTTATTGTTGGGCAAAAATATTGAGTTTGATATATTATAACAACATTTCAATATAGATATCTTTATTAAACAAGTCAATATATTATAATATTAAATTTGTCATAATACACAATATTTTTATCGAATATAGTCAAATTTCTTCCATAATGATATGATAATATACTTTCTTTTAATACAAAAATTTTGTTTCACATCATTTACTCATACATAAGGAAAAAGACTCGTCTGTTAAGTTAAAGTGATGTAATTCACAAAATGTATGTAGCCTGAGTTGGTGCAATTTTAAATAAAAAAAAGGGTAATACCCAACTGTTTAATATACAAATTAAACAAAGATTATGTCAATTTTTTAACTTCTTAAATAATCTTGAAATGTATTGTTTGCAATTCTCAAAATTTTTCGATTTAATGAGCGAAAATTACATCTAGCATATGATTACCTCCAGAGTTTTGGCAAACAGTTATTTAATGATTACTTGGGCACAGATGGTACATTAGTTTTATCAATCTCAATTTGTTTTTAAAGAACATTGGTTTACGATTTGTTTTTGAAAAAATTTTACTTGACATATTTAAAATTATATTAAAAATATTAACAAATTCATATTTCACAAAAAAATTTTTCTAGAGGAGTAAGACTATAAGAAGGGAATTAAATGTTTATTTGGTGAAATTAACAAAACTGTCTGTGGGTAGTAGACATCAAATTCAATGAGTGGATAACTGTCTGTTGAAACTCCAGAGGTGATCATATACTAGTAATTCTGGACCATTAAATTGGAAATTTTTGATGATGTCAATAAAAAAAAGTTTTGAAATTTGGTTCATCTTATATTAAGTTACCTGAAGTTTTAATTTTAAGTGTTTATTTATAGAATGTATTAATATATTATCAATAAAGCATTTTACATTAATACTAAATAGTTAAATTCATTAAGGATTGGTTAAGAAAAAAAATTTTTTTTTAAAGTTAATTTATATTTTTAATAATGGTAAAATGTAAATATTAACAGTATTATAATATACATTATTAAAAAAATAAATATATATGAACTATTAAAATTGATTTTATATTTGTTTTTTTACACTTAACTAATTAAAATTTTTCTTATACAAAAGTTTTTAATATTATTTAATCTATTCATATTGAATGAATTTTTTTAGAATAAGAAATACAAACATTAGCTCTTTAAAACTTCAATATTTAAAAGAAACTGCATTTTGTAAAATTTAGTATATCATTATGTATCAATAATTTATAGTTTAAATTATAATTACCTCTTACTTTATATTATTATTAATGCAATGATTAAGCTAATTTGTTTTATTTACAAAATGATTTTACTGGATTTACAGCTAAAAGTAAATCAGTTAAACTTTTATCATCATCATTATTACTGGTTTCAAACATTGGCCAATCATAGTTTGGTTGTATAAGTCCTTTTTCTNGTTTCAAACATTGGCCAATCATAGTTTGGTTGTATAAGTCCTTTTTCTTTTAAAAGTGTGCTCAAGTGTTCTAAAATACAATTTTCGTCTATTGATGATGAATATTTAGGGCTTTCTCTAAAAAAAAAAAATAATTATTTTGTTTCAATAAATTAAACTAAATTGTTTAATTGGAAAATCGGAACACAAATTTGGTAACATAGCTCAAGTCTCATCCCATTCTAGTTACTTGATAATGGTTTCTAAAAGAAAAATTAAATAACATAATATGTTTGCTCAATTTAGTCATTTGACCAAAATAAGCATGTACTATTAAACATATAAGGCATAAAATAAAAAATTTTGTTGTGATGTTCCAAATCTAATTAATATTATTTAAACTTACTGTGATATATTTTGAATTTTATTATTAGTGGATATGATTGAAATTTCAGATAGGTCTTGTGGAGATTCTTCACAAATATGTTTTAGTTCTTTTGTTGGTTCTATGTAGCATTCCGTTATTTTTTGGAGACAGTTTAGAACTCTGATATTATTGGGCGAATCAAGATCAATATCTTTACTTATATTAGGTACTTCTTTGGTTAATTTAAATATTTCATTATGTAACTTTTTATAATATTCTAAATTATCATTTGATTCATTAAGTACACTTTTTCCACTTATATCGCTTGAGTTGGATGAAGTTGATATAGAGAGATTGGCAACATCCGATGGACTCATTTTTAACAACATATTAATGTACCTCATCAAATCATTATCAATATTTGGCTTATAATTTAATAAATCATTTTTGTTTTTTTCCTTTGAATTTTGCTTCACCATAGTTTTAGATTTGGAAGAAGTAGTATGTTTATCAATATTTATAGTACTTTTATTTGGTAAACTAGCAGTATTAGTTGGTTTAATTGACGTACATATTCTTTGTATTTTTGCTGATTTTGTTGGATATTTTAAATTTTTATATAGCTCATCAGATAATTTTTTTTTTTTTGTATCAATATGATCTAACATACTTTTAATATTGGCTAATGGAATTTTTTTTTTTTGTGTATTTTGAATTACTTTTAAATGTTTTTCATGCCTATCTGGGAACTCAACTAAATTATTCTTTTCATTAATGCATTTATCAATCTTTTTTAAAGAACAAATTGAAGAATTTAGTTTTAAATCATTTAAGTCCATATTTTCTAAAAAAAAAGTTACAAAATTATTATAATAATAAATTCTAGTGTTGATTATACTGTAACAATGTATATATCAAAATTATATTTTTATCAAAAATGATAAAATAATGTTTTTGAACATTTTTTTTTAAATATATAATTTTAGGGAACACTTAGTTTTATTTTATGTTATGAAAATAAAATTACCCCTTAAATTAGAACATGCATTATTCAAATTTTTTTTTTGTTCATCCAAAAACATTAACCTTTAAACTGAGATACACACCGTTGTATTATAAATGACAATATGATAATATCATAGTTAAATATAATATTAATAACCTAAAATTTACTAAATATCAATCAACTTTTTTAAAAATACTTTAATGAAATAATACATTATTTTTATTTTTTTAGTTATTAAATATTTTGAGTATAATATTCAAAGTTACAGTGGACTATTCTTATGATTTAACCCGGGTTATTAAATAATTAAAAAAAAAAACTTACCCATACATTTCCTTGCACAATTTACTTTGGAACTGTCACTTACATGTTTATTTTGCATATCTTCATATTGATTTTTAATTTCTTTTGAATCATTTTTTAAGTTTGCAGACAGGATATTCTAACAAGTATTTATTTTTTAATTATACATAGGAATTTTTAAAATTATAATGAAATAACTTAAAACAAAAAACATTTGTTCAAAAATAATTTAAAAGTAAGAAAATTTCTTTTGATTGGATTTGATAAAACTTTAATTGAGCAACTAGTGAATGATTAATGACCTCATTTTATTTAATACTATTTTTTTAAAGAATATAAGGCGAAATCTTAAAACAACTTTAAATCATAATGAAAAGTTGAAAGAAATGAGGAAGTTTTAAAAGAAGAATATTAAGGATGATCCAGAGACAAATTTACTAACCAAACATTCAATAGTTTTACTAATTGATTGTATAGTTTGTAGTAAGAGAAAACAAGGAATGAACTAATATTGTACTTAGGATCTACTATAATAAAAATATTATTAATTTAAAGTTAAAAAACTAAAAAATATTAAACTCAAAGCCACAAAAAATTAATGAAATGTAGGTTATTAGTATTTTTCCCAAATTTAAAAAAATTCCAATCCATCCCAAGATAAACTAATTTATTAATATTGAGTGCAAACAACAAGCTTTTTATTTTGTTCTTAATTGGTTTTTTTTCATTCTTAGAATACCTGTGTTTTACAACAAATTTCTTGTTCTTCTGAAGATAATTTTTTCAATTGATCAACTAAAGTTTTATACATTTCTATATTTTTTTCCAATTGAGTGAATTTAAATACAGTTTCTTTGTTTTTTTCAGGTTCAATATCTAACTTAGATTTTAAATTATTAGGTTCTTCATTTTCTTTATTAATTGATCTGGACCATGGTTTTGAAATATTTGACTGTGGTTGGTAAATATATTGATTATTTTTGGTTTAATTTAAATTTTATTTCAATACATAAAAATAAAGCAGAGGCGTCATTTTAAATTTTACTTGAATGGGGAAAATTGTGAACTGGCCCATTATTTTATAAAGCTGATTGTTTTGCTCATAGTTAATTTCTTAATAACTGATAAAATGTTACACTTTAGACAGAACTTTTTCTAAAATTTGATAATAATAAATATTTAGGACCTACTTATTTCAGTTAGGAAAACATGGTGTCTCGATATGTAGGTACCAAAAATCTACATTGTAGTACTGTGCTATAAAAATTTTCCCATCCTCTCTACCACAAGCAATAACTTGTGAAAATCTTGAACATAATAGATAAATAAAATAAATGACTTACAATTTTTTATGAAAGAACTTTTAAAGCCATAAAGACAATTATAAATATATGATGTGGTCACATCACAACTCCAGTTTTATGTTAAATGGCGACTGGAACATTCTCATCCAACAGGTCGCGTTATACCAGGTAATAAGTACTGACAGTCTGGTTTTCACTTCCTAACTGAAACTTGCACGGTGACTGTACTTAATAAATATTGTTTTACTCTTATTAAATAATATAGATATCCTATTTATCACTATTTACATATGGGTTCGTAACTATTATTTATCTAATACCAAAAAATCTATCTCTTATATTCAAATGTATAAGAAATTACAGTAAAAAATTTATTAACCAGGGCTTTTAAGGTCAAAAACAATGATACAATTATCAGAATTATCACTTTAAACATATGATTGTAAGTTTCAAAATTACACACATAAAAAAATTTAAGATATTAAGTTATTAAATAGCTTTAGTTGTTATCAAGATGGGCCAGAATAGGCTTGCTCAAAGTACGGCCTAGTCAGCAAGAATATGGGTTGAATGACTATAGTTTTCACTAAAAATTAGACTAGAGCGAATGTCATCTAAGTAACCATTTCCTAAATGACACCTCTGAAATAAATATAAATTTAACAATTGGTAAAATTAAGAATATTGTTTTACCTTCATAGAGCTATAATCAGAAATGCTGGATTCATCTAAAATAGTTTGACTCTGAATAAGAATGCATCTGTTTTTTTTGTTATTTTTTAGGTCAACATCATAACCACTAAAAAATAGAAAAGAAAAAATTTTTGTATGATGTTTTTAGTAATATATATTAATATATTTTGAGTATTTACACTTTCGGAACACTTGTAATTAATGAAGAACGAATTTTTTCTACTGTTTTAATATAATGAGCTTTTTTTTCTTTCATTTCTAAATCCATTTTTATATTTTCCATCATGTGATCTTGTTTCTTTTTAGCTTCTACTCCTCTAGAGAGTGCTTTATAACGGTTTATTAATCTTTTTTCAGCTAACTGTATGTTAGGGTTGCCCTAAAAATTTAAAAATAAAAATAATTTTAAATATATACATATTTAGTAAAGTAGAAATAGTATCTGGGCAGCATTATTCAACAGAGAAAATTATACTAAGCAATTTTCACATAATTTAATTACTGAAATAAAAAAAATTGTATACTTAATTATTAATTACCTTAAAAGAGTAATTTTGACAAATTAAACATTAATTTATATTAAAAATTAAGTTTAATATTTTATGTAAGTCATTTAATTTTCACATTATTTAATGAAATTAATTTATAATATCAAGAATATAATAGTGAAGTAAATATTTGTATATTTCATTTCATAAATTACTGTTGTGAATATTCAATATTAATTTTACATAAAATAATTAGAATTTTGATTTAAAGGAGGTAAGTTCCAAAGTCCTTCTAAACATAGTATCTTTTTTTAAACATAATTAAGCTTAGGAAGACATTTTAAGCAATATAATCTCGACATGAATTATTCAAAATATCTTATAATTTTAATAGCATATAAATGATGTTTTAATTAAAAATACTTATTCATAAAATAAAATTACCTCTTCTGAAGCTAATGAATACCCATTACCTATATCTTGGATTAAATAACTAAAATCACTTTTTAATTTATTTAAAATTAATGACTTATATTTTTGTTCATTTTGATATCTTTCTATCTCAAGGTCTTCATATTCATTTTTAGTAGAATAAAAAACACTATCTCGAATTTTTTTGGAAATTTCTTTTGACTGATTTCTTACCTTCAAAAAAATGTTTTTTTAATTAATCAACACAATAATTTGTACCTAAATAAAAAATCCAGTACAGTGGGGTCGCGGCACAGTTGGGATGTGGCATAGATGGGTCCAGTATAGATGATATCTGACAGTGATTAAAATCACTATCATAAAAAATGCTTTGATGCAAATCTGTAGATAATGTTTAATTTAAAAAAATTAATGGATTATTCCAAAAGCTACATGATCTCCTATTTCATTATTTATATTCTGATACAAGTTTTATGATTTATAAGTGTAATATATGAATAAATATATACATTAATAATATATAAATATAAATAGTACTTATCTTAAAAAAAATAAAATGATTTATACATTTTTCAAAAAGTTATAGCTTAATAAAGTTAAAATATAAAAAATAGTTTCTTTACAAAAATCGTATTTTTTTTATTAACTTTGATGTTTTTACCGTGAAGACAAAATAAAGACTAATATACTTAAATATTAAAAAAAATTAAAGCTTATGTCATAAGCTTTAATTTAAGAAATATATAAAAGTTGTCATTTTGAATTCTCACTGTGGGCAGGTAAAGGGTCAAATTTATAAAAATAATATACAAAATGATTGGTAATTACCTCACGTATCTATATAAAACAAAAATTATATTGGTTTAATCATTTTCAAAAAATTTATGGCAGTTTTAAATAAAAAAAATTGTCAAAAATTAGGGATTTTTAAATTTATAATTTGTTTGGAGATTTCCCCCATTTAAATGGAATGAGGTAAATTTTTTCAATTTCTGAGCGTAATATTTTCGACTAAATATGATTTGTGATCTTTTGACATATCGGTTCGGTAAGAGCTGAGAAAAAGTGGTAACAAACACACAAAAAAAAAAAAAAAAATACATTATAATAAAATTAATACCTTCTCAGCTTTGCATTGAAGCTAAAAATAATTAAATTTTATATACAGCTATGAATAAAATTACAAGTGAAGCGAATAATTTATTTTTAGCATAAACCATAAAATATTTGAAAAAATATTAAAATAAACTATTGAATAGTTTGAATAAATAGTTAATATTTTTCATTACTTATATTTAAAAATCTGGATAATTTATAAATTACTTTTTTTCTATTTTGTAAGATAATTTATAATATTAAAAAAAGTCTTTAAATATATCTTATTACTTGAACTATTCTAATTTTTCTTCTTTTTTCCCAATCATTACGATTTTTTAGATCTATGTCCATTGTGTACATCTAAACTTATAAAAAGAAAAAAATTAATTTAAAATATTGGAGAAAAGGATTGAAACATTAAAATTTTAAATAATTCTTGAATAAAATTTGTCAAAATACAATTTTTACACTTCTGTGTAAAACCGAAATATTAGAATTGAATTTGATATTTGTTTAAAATATTACCATGACAACATACTTTTTTCACATACGACGGAAAATTTAAATAGAAATTATGTTGTACAAATATTTTTTTTTTCAGAAACAGATGCCTTAATAACCCTAAGAAAAAATGTACCCAATCAATACATTTCTGTGATTTTACAAAAATATTTCTATTACTACGCTATTTATCTACATTTAAGTATAGACATGTGATTTTGATTTAAGTGAGAATATAATTTTTATTTTTTAGAACTTTAATGCACCAAAGTTCTGAATTTTATTTACTCTTAAAAATAATATTTCATTAAACTAACATCAAAATAATATTATTATTATTAAATGCACACTTATATAATTATATAGTTTTACTCAAATAGGAAAAATATATTTGTAAACAAATATATACACAGTGATTTTTTTACAATTACATTATAATACTTCTGAAATATGCGCACTTAAAATTATCATAAGCATAACTCTTAATGTATAGCCATTATTTTAATTGAACACATAATTATTTGTAAAACTAGTAATAATTCAGACAGATGTAAATATATGTAAGTAGTATTCTTACTTAATTATATGTTAGTAAAACATATTAGCCTGAACTCCTAAAAAAAATAATATATCCCTTTTTTGTCAATTATTTAATTAAAAAAAGTTAATCTTAGACTAATGTAAAATTGACTTCTCATTTGTTATTATGAAATCAAATCATACTTTAGAGTATTACTTTTTATAATTACTGGACTTTTAACTGTTGTCACTTATTTATTATCATCGAATTAAGAGAAAAGTAATACAAATATTATAACTAATATGGTCACACTGTATTGTCCGTCATTTTGATAATAACAGATAATGTCAGAAATATAATCATAAAAGTGAATATTGTTACCAGACTACAGTTAACTGTCGTCCTTGTGTGGAACTCAAGCAAGAACTGTTGTTCAAACAAATTTGTTATTACAAGTATTAATATATTTTATTTAATTGTTACAAGCTATTATTTAATAAATGTCTGAGAGTATTATTTTTATATCTTGTTTGACCTGAAATAGTAGAAAACCCTTAAAATTTACTAATTTCAAAAATTACAAAGCGTTTTAATTAATAATAATACAATTTTAATTTTTTACAATTTATCTACTTAGGGATTTTTAAAGTACATATATTATGAACCCAGATTCATTGCAAGAAGCCGTGAAATGGGTTGCTTATAAGAATCCAGTTGTTACAAACTCTATTCATGGTTTTAATTCAATGGCAAGTAATTAGTAGTACTTCTTAGGATTGATTGATAATTTAAATGCTTGTGTTATTATTCGTTTAATTGTAAAGTATGTCTTGTAAAAAAATAAAATTAATGTAACTAAATCATATATATTATATAAAATATTTTTTTGTGGATATACTTGTGTTGAAATAGCTATTTTATTTATTTTTTAACTTGAATAAATTATTTTACCTTTATCTATTAAATGAAACAACCATTAAAATTAAACAGTTAATTTTGAATTTTTGTATTATATTTATGATGACATTAATAATGTAGTTTTTAAGTAATATTTCACTATTTTTGTACTTTAATTTATATTATCATAACGATAATTGGATTGAGATAATTCGTCTTATCGAAATTTAATTTTTTTCTAGCCTAAATTTTTTAAACATCAGTTAAATCATTGTTTGTAGTTTGCAGTGATGTATTTTTGACATTTTTACGGGAGAGATGAAGAATTTTTTTTAATTTACAGTAAATTTTTTTGCTTAAAATGAATTTAGTATAAATATAAAGTAGTTATAAATGGTATATAAAGTAGTTTATCTTTAATAAATAACTCTTTTGTGTTATTATCTACTAAATAATTTTTATTTTATTTTATTTATTTCACTACCATTAGCGAAATGGTAAACAAAATCACTATAGATATACAAATATAGCTATTTCAACAAATAATTAATTGTTTATCAATAAATTTTATGGTCTCAATCTATATTGATCAGCTTCCCTTAGCTACATCATTAATAGGCTTATTGTATTTGAAACTTAATTTTGATCATTTGTTCCAACTTCTATTAATATTAATACAATATGATTTACTGTCAGCACCAATTTAGGTAGACCGCATAAATTTTTCAGTAGATTACTGGTTCATTCTAAAATAATATAAGAACTAATTTAAGTTCAATTTTTAAAAAATTGAAATCTATACTTTCTGCATTACAGTTAAGCTGTTTTAAATAGAAAAATTACTTATGCCTTTTAGGTAAGTTATACCAAATAACCTCATTTAAATTGTAAAAAAAATTTTTTTTGGATTTATGACCATTGAATATATTCAGAATTTATATTGGCAAAAATAAAATGATATATGATATTTATACCATGTTTAGTATTTTATGTATCCCTGTAATTGTTAACTTAACAGAGAAATGTTAAAGGATACATTAAGAGATTAGCTTAGTATTTTATTTTTTAAATAATTTATACAATATTTTTATATAGCAATGAAGATTTTCATTTTGTTAACAGTTGCATTGGATCGGTTTGACCAGTGGAAGTGAACAGAAAAATCTGGTTAAAATGGATAGTCGTAGTTTAATACAATTGATTGGAAAAAATATTTATTTTTATAAAATTGCTGGTGTATTAGGGGCATCGGCCCTTATTTTAGGGGCATATGGTGCACATGGTAAGTAATTCTAATTTTTATTTATTTAAAAAAAATTCATGTATTTAGAAATTATATTGATTTACACTAAATTTCATTAAACTTTTTTAATTGAAAATTATCTTTAACTTTATACATTAACTAATAATTAAAATGTTGGAAGAATTTTAGTCCCTTTAAGATAGGTTCTTGGTAGTGTAGTAATCAACTAAATATAATATTGAACAATCTGCTATTATAGTTGTATCTCACAAAGCTACTCCAGAAGAGGCTAAAAATTTTGAAACTGGAAATCGATTACATTTCTATCATACCTTGGCATTATTTGTAGTTCCATTTTGTCGATTTCCTGTTGTGGTAAATATATTTGGCATAACATTTTTAGTAGCTCACCAAAAAAAAATATATTAAAAAATTATTTTTCTTTTTTAGACTGGAAGCCTTTTTATTAGTGGCACAATTTTATTTTGTGGTACTTGTTATTATAATGGTTTGACTGGAGATAAATCATTCAACAAATTAGCACCTACAGGAGGTATGTTATTGATATCTGCTTGGTTATCAATGTTAATATAAAAGTTGTAAAATAAATAATTGTTCTAATATATATTATATATTGTTTTATTTTATAAAGTTTCAAATAATAAAAGTAAAATGGTGGCATAATTGTTCTTATGCAATATTAAAAATATGGTATTTTTATTTTGTTTTACTATTTTTAGTATATATAGTATTTATAATAAAAAATTATTTTAACCTTACAAGTGACAATTAAAATGATCTGAATAAAATTGTATAAAAAATTGACAAATCTAGTTTTTACCAAATTAATTAGTGATTTTTTTTTAATCAAATAAATGAAGAATTATCATAAGATTTAAACATACATTTATTCAAGACAACAATAAAATATAAATATAAAGCACTATCATCATTGTGATTCTTTAATTAACAGCTGAATATTCTCTTTAAGATACTTAATTCTATTAACTAATGAATCACGAATGCCAAATTCAGTGTAAGGAACTGTTAACACTTTATAACCAAGCGATTTAATGAGCCGTGTATTTAGTACAACAATTCCATTAGGTTCATTGTGGCATCCTCGACATGAATCATGAAACCCAGTCAGCATAAAAGCTATTTTATGTATTTCTGTGTTAGTTGATTCATTGCTATTTAGAGGGATTGGATTAAGTTTTGAATCAAATGCACACACAGCATCTGGAAAGTAAATTTTTCTAATTTAGACATCTATTATAGAATCCATTCTAATGATTTTTTTAATTGTTTTTGAAAAAAAAATTTGTACTTACCAATAATAAAACCAAAATTAGTACAAACATCAGTTTTTATTATGTTAATAGATGGTAATATAGAAGATAGTGCATCCATCATTGAAGCCATTAAAGCTTGTTTATCCTTGGATTTAGTTAATTTAACTTGGTAATCTTCTAAATTTAAATTTAGTAGTGGTCCTATAATTAAAAATTTTAATTACTTCATAGGCAATATATTATACTTAGATAGGATAGTTGGCAAGTTGAATTATAGAAATGACAAATTACAATCTTGAAGGTTTGTAGAGCTTAATTATCTTAATAACATATTAACTCATAAGGGGAACTTATCAATCAATTTTCTATTTTTAAGGATGTTAAGATTAAATATTTGTTTTTTATTTCTGAATATTGTTAAAAATCCTTGAGCGAATTAAAAAAATTACTCTTTAATAACTATACACAACTACATAAATTAAAATATTTATTTCACATTTTTGTGATTTAAGATGTATTTTAAATAACTGGTTCATTTGTAAACTAATGTAAATTTTCATATTATATATTATCCAAAATAAATAACTACTTTATAAATGAAAAAATTCATATTTAAATAGCCTATAAATTAGGAAATTATCTAACAATTAGATTTTTATCAACCAGTCATTTTATAAAATAATTAAACATGTTGCCATTAAAAAATATACATAGTTGATACCCCTATAAGAAATAATCTTGATTGATGTAAATGGATTTATAAAAAAAAAACGGTAGCGTAGTGTGGGAGTGGCATAGTCAGGAGAAATATAGATAAAATCAGACAGTGACTAAAATCACTATCATAAGAAACGCTTTATTGCAAATCTATAGATTTCCTTCATTATTTCTAATTAGTAGTACAAATGTATAATTAAATATCTATTATAGCAATTGAACGTAGTATTAAATTGATATTTAATAATTTAGTATTGTAATTTTTATGGAGAACAGTAGTTGTTACTTTTATGGTAAAAGTGTATTAAAGGACTTGATATAAAACTTTTTAGAAGATAATTTGTTGTTAATTATGAATAAATAGTTTAAAAGAAATTTTCATAGGAGTCAAAAATATACTTTTCTTGAGCAGTTTCTCGAGCTGATTTGAAATCTGCAATTTGATTATTTCCATTACCAATAATTTTTGATATTATTAATAATTAGTTAAAAATGAGTAATGACGTATAAAAAATTGGCTAAAATGAAATTTAACATAACAACAGCATACAAAATCATACATGAAACTAGGCACAGAATATAGTTTTGAATATTTCATTTGTAGCATATAATTAAACACCAAGAGTTACATAGATATTATTATTAAGCCTTCTATTTAAATGATTTATTACAATAAAAATGCAAAAATGTATTGATCTACATATTATTTAAAAAGTTATAGTACTTTAAGTTAAAATAACATGACGTTTGCATGTAAATAGCATATTTGGTTTTTTTATTACTTATAGTATAAACATAAGCTTTAATTTAACTTATGTTTAAAGCGAGGCGTATTTCCGGAATATTTTCAAAAGATAAGTTTATCTTTTCAAGCAAATGTTGCTATTTTGAATACCCCTATAGGCAGAAAAATATACCTAATAAAAAGGAAACTCTTACGGTATTTATATTAATAATAATAATATAATAATTTGTTTTGATTTATCCGTTTTTAAAAAAAATCATGATAATTTTGAATAAAAATAAATTGAAAATTGTCGATTTTAAAAATGGTATTTTTTTGGAGGATTTACTCCATTTTCAGGGATTAAGGAAAATTTTTTCAATTTTTGAGGATCTTCAACTAGATACTTTTTGTTAGAAAAAATTGGTCTAGTGAGACCTGAGAAAAAGTAGTAACAGACACAAAAAACATATATATATATATTCACATTATGGTAAAATTAATACCTTTCTAGCTTTGTATCAAAGCTAAAAGACAAAAAATATTCCCAAAATTATTTTTATTTTATAAATCATTAAGTTGATTAAAATAAACGGATCAACCAGTACATATTTTTTTTAGTAAAATTTTCAAATAACATCACTACATTGTATTTAAACATTTGTTTATCTAACACTTTACCTTTATATTGAGATTTTGTCTTAGCATATCCATTAATATTAAGCAGTTTAATAGGAACAATTTGGTTATCTAAAAAAAATTAAAAATAAAAGTATTTATTATTATTTAACACTATAAAAAAAAATTCTTAACATTTTTAAGTTGTAAACTAAAGGTTGTTTTATAGCACATTTTATTTCAATAAGATTATACATTGAAAAATGTTACAGAAATATATGTTTACACAAAATAATTGTAAAGTATATAATAATTTTTGTAGGGATTTGCCTAATTCAGGGTAAATGCTGATTCATAAAATGTATATGTAGTGTATATTCTCAAAACACCATTTGTTAACAAATTATTTACAACATTTTTTAATTACCTTTTAATTTTAATAAATTAGCTGTAAAATCAGGTGATAAAACTGATTCCAAGTGTTCATTATTTTCTTTTTCAAGCACTATTAAACTCCAAACAACATCTAACCATGTATTTATATTACTGACATCAATTTTTTTGTTGTTTTCAAATACCTGATTGAAATATTATTTATGTAAAATTATTAGCTATAAAAGGTATGATCTTTCAACAATATTGATACAATAAATAATAATATTAACATAAATTTTTTATCTTGTAATAATTTACAAATTATTTGCTTTGAATTTGTTAAAAATAATAAAAGAAAATATTTCAGTTATATCCAGAAACAAATATCAATATCTCTAGAATGATTTTTACATAATGTTTTAAATAAAATAAGAATACTCCAGAAATAAGTGTAAAATTCTGATGATTTTAAGTCAGACTTTTAGTCATATAAATTTATCTATTTTGCAGAACTCAAATAGTATAAAATTGGATAAAAACTTTAAAGAAATTTATAATTAACTTTTTTTAAACTAATATGTTTCTTTTACCATATTAATTAAAATACTAATAATACTATTTCATTATACATATCATAGTTGTATATAGAATCAATTCTAACTTAACATATAGGCAACTTATAAACAGCACACAAATAGTATTTAATATTTGATATTATATATTATCATGTAATAATAGCCAAATGTTCTATGTTCTTATTGTTTTTAAATCAAATAACAAAAATAAAATTAATGTAAACAAATATATTGTTGAAAAACCTTAATAAATATAAATTTAGTTATTTTAAGAACCTTAGAAATGCTTTCAAAATTAATCGGTTTGTAATTAACATAAGCCAAAGTGATTATAAAAGATTCCAAAGTATGCTTTTTGCAATTATCAATGTTTTTTTCCAACCAAGTTGATAGGGATTCAAGTAAATCTAAATAAAATAGAATATTTTGTAATTAAATTACTTTATGGTCAATAAAAAACACTATTGCAATCAAAAAATTATTTTAAAGTAAAAAGTTGTATTAGGTTATTTTTAGCTATTACCTGTGTCTCTTAAACGTAATACTCCCATACTTGTTATAATTGATCCTATAACAGACGAGCGATCGTTTGAAGGTAATAAACTACATACATCAGAGCTCACTTTTTCCATTAAGACTTCATCAGGAAAATTTAAAATAGCCAAAGCATATAACACATCAGCACACTGTTTGATATCAAGTTTTTCTGATGATCTACCAATATTGAAAGCTAGTGATCGCATTAAAGTTATAGAACGTTTTTTTTTAACAGCTAATGCTGATAATACCTACAAAAATAAAATTTTATATAGTGATGTATAAATAGTAAGAATAAGATATTGATCCAAATTTTAATGTAAATCTAAACTTCAGTTCTGGACTATTTAATATTTATTTACCGGATCTATCCTAACTATCCATGATAAATGAAATATAACATATAATTTTAAATAGCATAAAAATAGTATTATTTAAATGAAATGATGATTAAACCTATTATATCCATTTTTTTTTTTTTGGGAGTTATGTCTTTTGCAAATAATTAGCATAAAGGATAATTCATTTATCTTTAAACACATAATTTCTTAAGAAAAGTCAAAAAAGGCAAGTTATTTAAAAAAATTTTTTAACAAAATGATAATTATATAAAAAAGTATAGTTGTTGCCAGTTATATCTAAAACACACTGTATATATTGGTGTTTTACCGAGCCTTGACATCTTTAATAACTTTTGAATCAACAAACATTTTGCATTACATTTTTAAAAATAATTTTTAACTACGTTAAAAGTATATTATTAGTTTCAAATAAGAAAAGAATTTAATTTTTTTTATTTTTTAATATTTCAAAATAGCCTTTTTTTAGCTTTTTTTTTTTATTTTGCAAAATTTATATTTCACAAAAGTAAAGTATAATCCTTTAAATTTTTTTTAAAAGCTAAAAATAGCTATTTTTAAATTTTTAAAGAAATACAAAATTTTTCTTTTAATAGGCAAATAAAAAAGAAATGTTTTTAACAGTTTAAAATAATAAAAATTATTTAAAAATAAGTTACCCAAAATATATGTAAGCAACTATTAAGTTAAAAGCTTATATATAGTGTGGGTATGTACTAGAGGTGGATACAGTTTGTACTGGTACATTATTTTTAATGCATAGTTTTTTTGCATTACATACACACTCTATGTATTAAAATTATTTTTCTTCTTCTTCTAATTCCTTAATTATTAATGATGTCAAAACCTGGTGGGACACCCTATTTATAATTTATAGAGATAATATATGTATATATTTCTTTACTCTGATCATTTGTGGCAGACTTATTGTAGATATTAATTTGGCAGCTTCATCATCACCAGTAATGCTAAGAACAGTAGATAAATCATTAAATAAATAATCTTTTTTAAGGTTTTCTTTGCCTAATAATTTGCATAGTTTTAAAAATCTTGAATCTGCTTCAAATTCTGTTAATTTAGCTCGACCAGTACTAGCCCATTCCGCTAATATTGAAACAGCCTATTTTTTCATAAAACAATAAAATAATTTGAAACTTTCATATTATGATAAGTATACACATTACTTTGAGAGCTTGTGATTTGGATAGTACAGGAGCATTTGCTAATTCCAATAAGTCTTCAGTTGTTTTTGCATTATCTAACTTATTATTAACAATAAAATATGCATTTTTTTTTGAAGATTTTGTTGAATCAATCTCTTTTAAAGATGCAAAAGCTGCAGCTACAATACTACTATTAGAAGGATTGTTTTTTTTATCAGCTATTTTAAAATCCTCAGCAGATGGTTTAATAGTGTTCAAACTTCGAGATTGTAATCGAAGTGCAGAAATAAAATGTATAGATGTTCTAGACCATCGCATCATGGTATTCATTAGAAAGAAAAGTCTAGAATCACATTACCACTTTTTTAACTAAATAAAATATTTATGTTATCATTAAGAAGTTCAATTATAGATATTGAAAAGTCAATTTGGATTTAAATTTAAATTTAGCCTTTATGTCTTGAGCGTTATTTATTATTTTGATATACTAAAACTAAATATTATGAGGCTTATGACTAATGACTTCTCTTTATTTTGAGATTGGATAAACATTAAATATTAAAATTTTCTATATTATAAGTAATTAAAAGGCTTATAAAACTATTAATTAAAACTTCTGTCATGTAGTGTAAAGAAATTTTCAATTTTAAATGCGTCAATAGAATATTTGATATTTAATGTTCCTAATATTTATTATCCACCTCTAAAATATTTATTGCATTTGCAAAACAAAGAAATCAGATCTATTGTTTCTTAGCATTCCTAAAATTACTTTTTTTATTTAAATACCTGTTGTCTAAAGAATATCGGTTATCAGAAGATAACTAAACAATATTAATAAAAAATGAGTAAAAAACGTATCATCTACAGATACATATTGTTAAAATATTTATTTAAATAAGTAACAAAGTAAAGATTAATAATGTTTTAAATAAACATAAGCTAATGTATCAAAATAAGTTGAATATTATTAATTTAATTTACATCAAATTTTAATTACTTAATGTTTTGATATTAAATTCTCTGAGAGAGCCATGATGGTAAAAATCAAGATTAGGGTTATCAGTATTATACTTAACAAAGTTATCATTCAAGTAAGGTGGTTAAAGTTTAAGGCTTAAATACAGTTAACCTTAATCGGAAATCACAAAATAAATAAAACCAAATCTATTTTGTGCTGATAATGTATGGATTGTTAAAGTAAACATTTTGTAAAAAAATATTTGTGTTCATTTATTAAGGTTGTAAAACTGAATATTTAAAAATGTTTGATAGGGCTATATAATTATTAGTAGTTAGGTATAATTTAACATTTTTAGGAAGCTACCTTATAACTTAATTGCATCAATAATGTGTCAAAGAATATTTGACGTTAAAACATAAACAAAACTCCTTATAAATATATTTTGAACATATAAATAATTTTATCATGTATTTTAAGTATTTGACTTCAAAATATTTTTATAGCATCAGGATAAGAAAATGTAAAGTGGGTGTTCGATTATTTTTTTCAGATTCCGTTCGAGTGAGATTTGCTCCTAGTCCTACAGGTATTAAGACTTAATCAAATTAAGCTGTAAATATGAAATAAAAATTTTTGAATATGATTTATCATGTAAACATTTCATTAAAAGTAAAGTATGTGTGATATACTATTAGAACCTAAAGAATTTTTCTTAATATTAATCTGTAAAAAAATAATCTTGCTTTAAATAAAAAAATTGTTCCTTTGTCTATTTCAGGAAGTCTTCATTTAGGAGGTTTTCGAACTGCTTTATACAATTATCTTTTTGCTAAAGCTAATGGTGGAAAATATGTTTTAAGAATAGAAGATACAGATCGAACAAGAATTGTTGATGGTGCTGTTGATGAACTTCAAGAAGATTTGTCATGGCTAGGAATAGAATTTGATGAGGGTCCTAATAATAATGGACCATTTGGACCTTACATTCAGTCTGAACGATTAAATTATTATAAGTATAATATTTAATTATTGTTGCAATAATACATATTTTATAATTTATCTTTTTTTTTTTTTAATAGAAAAGCAGTCAATAATTTATTGAATAATGGTTTTGCTTATAAATGTTATTGTACTGAAAAAAGGTTAGAACTTTTAAGAAGAGAAGCTATTAGGACACGAACAATACCCCGTTATGATAATAAATGTCGTTATTTAGATGATGAAGAGATAGAGGAGAAAAAAAACAGTACAAACTATGTTGTGAGATTTAAGGTAAAACTTTATACTCTGGATATTTCACGATATTTAACAAATTTTGAATTAACTTTCAGTTAGAAAAGGATAATGTAAATTTTAGTGATATGGTATATGGAAATAATGTTAGGAATGTTGCTGCTATTGAAGGTGATCCAGTTGTATTAAAATCTGATGGTTTTCCTACTTATCATTTAGCAAACGTTATAGATGATCATTTTATGAAAATAACTCATGTATTGAGAGGTGTTGAATGGCAATCGTCAACATCAAAACATATTTTATTGTATAGGTAAACAATTAAAAAAAAAAAAATAGTTTAACTTTATTTTATACTCGAGCTTATTATTCAAATTGGTCTTATATAAATATATAGAAAATTTATACTGAAATTTAAAAATCTTTCATAATTGTCTAAATTAGAGCTTTTGGTTGGACACCACCTATATTTGGACATTTACCATTATTAATGAATGTTGATGGAACTAAACTTTCAAAACGTCAGCAGGATATTTCAATAAGTTCTTATAGAAAAAAAGGAATTTATCCTGAATCCATTTTAAATTTTGTAGTAAGTTGTGGTGGTGGTTTTAGTTTCAACAATTCAAAAAATAAGATGTGCATTAAAACTCTTGATGAACTTGTTGAAAATGTAAGTAAAATTTATTATTTAAGATAAAATCCAAATTTTACATTAATGATTTTAGTTTGATGTCAACCTAATTAATTCAAATTCTTGTCAAGTATCTCTAGACAAACTTGATTATTTTAATAAAATTCAACTAAAAATTGAATTAAGTACAGAATGTGGAATGAAAAAAGCAATTAGACAATTGAAACAAATTATAAAAAACAACTTTTTAGAAAAGTATTTTTTCAAAAATAATTGTTATACGAAAATTTAAACATATTCTATTCTTTTAGCAATGAAATAAGTTTAGATTTGAATGATTCATACTTGGAAAAAATTCTAAAATGGAGTGTTAACAGAATTTCAAACATCAATCAGCTGATAAATGATAACTATAAATTTATTTGGATTAAACCTTCGGAAGCTTCTATCAAAACTATGAACTTTGATAAAGGTTGTGATAACAATATAGTTAAAATATCAAATAAATAAAGTTAATTTGAATATTTGTAGACTTAATAATGAAGTTGATACAAAATTTACAGAATGTGGAAAATTTTAATGCTAAACAATTAGGAAACATACTACAGGAATTTTCTAAGTCTAATAATATTGTTTACAGTAATTTCATGAAAACATTAAGAAATATAATAAGTGGATTAAAAGTAAATACAGTATATTTATAATAAGTTACTTTACAATTTTCATTTAATATATTGTATGCATGTATTGTTTTTACAGCAAGGTCCAGGTGTAAGTGAAATGATGGAAATACTTGGTAAAGAAGATGTCATTTCCCGATTAAATAGAGCTTGTATCGAGGATTAAATATTTCTAATAACATACAAATTTAATTCAAAATTATACATTTACTATCAACATTTAAATGGATGGATGATTTCATTACTTTTGGTCATCTGAGCCCTAAAAATATAATTTTTGATTAATTATCATAATGATAAATAATTTATGCCAGTAGTTATTTTTTTACATTTTTATCATTAAAAATTAGCTTTTTAGCTGAATTTAAGTTTGAACTGATGAACTCTAATAATGAATTATACAACTCTTTTAACTCGGGTTTTTCTTCATTAGAATTTTCTGATTCTTCTTTAGGTGATGGTAATGAAGGTAGTTCAAAACCAGATAAATCTTTAGTAACTAAAATTGGAAAATTATAAAATTTCTTGATATATTTTAAGACAAAAATTGTTTGTACCATTATTTATGAAATGGTATGATACTGCTGAATAACGTTTAATTATTTTTGTAGTTTTTTCAGCTTCTTTTGGATACCCTATATAAAAGAAAGCTGATGTTCCACTTGCTGTAAAAAGGATTTTCTTGAACTTGCCTTTATTGAAAGCCAATAAAAAGCCAGCTATACCTCCACTTATTACAAATCCCACTCTTAAAGCCGAGTTTTTCTCTTGATGCAAATTATCTACAAATGCTTAAAAAGAAAATTTTATTTAAATAAATTACTTATTAATAATTAAATAATTAAAGTTTTTTGTAAAATAGCACCCAAAAAATTAGAGTTAATACTCATAACTGTTTTTATGTGAGTGTAAATGATGTGGGAGGTTGTGTCATGTGGAAGTTTAGGATAAGGGTTGTCAACCCCAAGTAGTTGGGATTAAGGTGAGGAAAAAGAAGAAGAAGACTATTAACTGTTTTAACAATTATTAAATGATGACTATGATGATTGCCAAGATTGAATACCTGTCAACAGTGACATATGCAAGATTTTTTCAAGTGGGGTGTTACAATATATTGAGTGCCCCATTGTGATTTTTTAGAATTTCTGTTATGATTTTAACCAAGTGGAAGACCATTATTTTTCCATAATAAATTTTCAATAAATATTCATAACTTAAAATATTTTGAAGTTGTATTAAAGAAACTATTTAGTTTTACTTTTTTAAATACTATATTCTACCATAATTATTTGTAGAAAAATATTTTCATTACCAAGAACATTCATTATATTACTTATCCATAACTTATGAATATGATATTATTACTGTATAATATTTAATTTTTAGTTTTTATCGATGTGGACATAATGCCCATGCACTCAGACCTGTTGGTCCATTGTGCGCATCTCATACCGAATTGTCTTGATTTGGTTTACCCACCTAAGTGTTATCACCGAAGTGTTATTACATTATACTTATCATTGTATCATATTTAATTACTTATATCTACAGGTTGAAATTTTATTATTTTGTATATTTTTGGGGTACTTGGAAAAAAATGATACTTCAGAATCTTAATGAATTGTGAAATGTTTAATTAAATAGTAAATTTTTTATTTTGCATATCTGAAAATATTTCATGATAAAACGAATATTTTGTATAAAAAAGAATATGTTATTTAATTTGTTAGAATTTTGACATTTTTTTTGTTGTGTAATAAATTATTACACAACAAGAAAATTTTTTAAGAAAAAAGGATCATTTATAGAAAATAATTTTAAAAGTAACAATTATTTTATTTTATTCAAACTTACAAGATGATCCAAATTTGGTAAAACATTCATTTTGTCAGAAACTTTTGAAACTTTTTCATTTTTCAAAAGAGAAAAAAATTAGGTTAAAAAAACTACAATAATACGTAGTTAAATAATTTTTTTTCATTCCTTCAGGATTACAGCGCTCAACTGGTGTATGCGCACTCTGTTCTCGCTACATATTCATCCTGTGTATTTTAAAATGCTGTAATGGATGAATAAAAAAAAAAAAAATTATAATAACAAAATTATTTGTAATTTTTTTTTTTTATCATAATGCTAAGTTAAAAATAATAGTTCCCATTTAAGAAAATTGTAAGATTTTTTTTTGACCCTGAAGGTATGAAAAAAAATTATTTGTCTACATTTTATTGTAGAGCTTTTAAGCTTATTGTTTTCCCTTTACAAACATAAAACTCAATATTTTCTAAGAAAATTAGTGTCTTACCAAATTTGGATTACTTGCATATCTAGATTAAATGAGTTTTGTACTTTCGAAAATAAAATAAAAATTAATTTAGTATCTTATTAATTTTAATTTATACTATAAAAGTATATTTGAATTTAAAAAAAATTATTGAAATAATAGAATATCTTTAACATATTTCACCAATTTTTTAAAGGACATTACTTAGTTCCTTACTTATAAATGTTATGTATAATCTGTCGTTATATAATAACAGCCATTATGATTTCTACCACCAAATAATACTGTGACTATATCAATTGATTTTACATTTTGACATTGAACAAAAGAACCAGCTATTAAATTTTTATTTTAAAAGGTACAAGTATATTTTTCAAATCTATGAAGTAATGTAAAGATTTTACATTAACTAATAATTTTTAATATTAATAATCAATAAAAAAAAGTTATTTTATATTATTTAAAATTTCAAAAGATTTAAGGTAATTTATTAGTGAAGACTGTAACTGGTTTTTGAAGAAATAATGAAATAAAATTTAAATAAATCTATAAAATAGTAAAAAGTATACAGGATAGAATGAATATAACTGACAATTCATATAACTTTTGGTACAATTATTAAAATTTCATTGTAATTAATTTTTTAATATTTTAAACTGTTAAAATCATGTTTTTAATAATATTTTTTATTTTTTTGAAGTTTCCAAATTTTTTTTAAATATTTTTTTTAGAGCTTTTTCTACAAAAAAATTTAATAGTTTAATAACAGTTTTAGGATGAGTAATTATTGAGTTAAATAAAACATTTTATTTGAAAAGTGCTGAATACTGACTATTTTAAATATTGAAAAAATGTTTAATTAAAATAAAATATAATAATAACTTAGTCAAATAAAATAATGCATACATTAAAAGATTACAGCAAAATATTAATTGTATAAAAAGTTACAAGAGTTGTCAATTCTGTTTCACTCTTTGTATAAAAATAGTTTAATTTATTAGCAGTAAAGAATGATATAAAAAAAATAATTAGTACCTCCTGTATGAGCATATCCTGTTTGAAAAAAAGTATTTACTCTATCCTTAACTATAGAAAGCTGATTATTAACAGTAATGACTTCTTCACAAAGTTTCTTAATTGAATTATGAGCAAAAGTTGGTTCCCAATTATCTTCTTGCTTTCTAAAAAGTGTATAATTAATTTATCATTCAAACAAATTATCTTTACAAAATGTGTTTCTCACTTATTTTCTTCTGTAGGTTTTTCAGTATAAATTGGTAAATCTTTTGGTTTAACAAGTTTAGGTTCTTCATCTTTAGCTAATACCTTTTGAATGAATGTCGAGGCTGCTAATAATGAGTAACCAGACTAAGCAACAATAAGAGAAATATTAATAGAATTATATGTAATTACAAATAAAACAACTTAAGCTTATTATTTAGGTTACACAACTTATATTATATTTTATATGATAAAAATATTAAGTAAATTAGATCAATTTTCATGAATAATAACTTACTCGTCTCAAAATAAAGTTGGACATAGTTGAATAGATAAATAAAAAAATAAGCAACAGTTATTTATTATAAATTTTGAAATGTTCAAATTTAATAGTTTATTAATTGGTAGCATATATACAATTTATACAGGTAGCTATCAATATAAATGACATAATTAGTTCAGTTTTCGATAAGAATATGCTTAGATCATGTGTAAAGGAATAGTTTATAAGTTTATCTTCATACATTTTTTTGAAGTATCAACAATTTTGTACTACTGCGCAAGCGCTATCATTGTACTCAATGAATTATTTTTAAAAGTTTTAAATTCCAAATACTTTCAACACAAGAATTTTTCTGAGCGTTCATTAAAATTTTGGTTAGCGTTGAATTATTATAATATTACCACAGCATATAAAATAGTTACATAACGATCTATACAATTCTACAATAAACTGCGGCGAAAAAGTTTCCTATCGAAATAACATTAAAATCAGGCTATGGACACTTCGATATGTAAACAAAAAGTAGCAGCCATTTTATTGTAGGTATTGGTATTATCATTTTGTTGTTATGATAACTAATACCGGTTGAGTGAAAATATATATTATAAGAATTTTACTTTTAATCATTTTATTTCATTAATTTTCCATTTTTTATATAATAATTAATAGAATGGTTTATGTTTGCATTGTAAAAAACTGCATTAACTCAAGAATTGCTTCCAAAAATGATGATTGTAAAATGTTTAAAATACCAAAGGATTTTCCTCGGTTATTTTTTTTTATTATAATTATAAAAATAATATTTGTATCTTAAAAATCTTAAAGTTATAAAAAATAATTACTAAAATTGCAACAGAAATGATTTGTTTGACAAATCAATTGATAAATTTAATAAGTATTATATGGTTTGTAATGTTAATTTCAAACCTAATGTTTTCTAACGCAGAAAATTTTTTCAAACAGTCTGACGGCTTAAATTGTCTGAATGACTTAGATGAAATTTTAACTAATTTAAGTGTTGCTCCTTTATTAAACGTCTTATTGCATTTAATCCTGAGAAAACTTATAATTTTGAAAATTTTAAAGTTGGTATGGTTGATTACCATGATTTAAGTTTTCCTGCTATAAATGCCCTTACTTATGTATGTGGCTATCTAATTAAGAAATCATTAGAAAAACATAATTGTGGTATATGTATTAGTTATTCTAAGTCTCAAAATCAGTTAGATGAATCTTATTTTTTTAACATATTTTAAGGTTTACCATTATAAAAATTTATCCACTTATGGAAACTAAAATACTTCACCCATTTTGTTTGTAAATTATATAAGTGAATTTTTAATATTTTTATAGAAGAATTTCCAATAATTGCTGTAAACAATAATGTAGGAAAAGAAATGAGAAATTTAATAAGTAATATTCCTTTAAAGCATCCATGTTCAAACTTTAATTATGAGTTTTTAAAAAGCCTTTATATAAGACTTAGAATATTTAGTTCTTTAAAATTTTTAAACAAAAATATTTTATCAAAACCGAGGAAACATAGTATACTTGATATACTAATACATTAATAAAATACAATTACATGTTCTAGATTATTTGAAAGAGTTTTTATTATACTTTAATTTATTAATTGTTTAATTATTGTATAATATATGTAATGAATGTGTATGTTGATTTCGAAACTTCAATATTATGTTAATTGATTCTTTTTTAATTTTAGCTTTGATGCAAAGCTAAGAAGGTATTAATTTTAATATGATGTATTTTATAAAATAATTTATTCAAAATGAATAAAAAATTTTAGACATTTTTGTATGAAATATTTAAAAAATGTATAATTCAATTGAACATGAATCATTAATTTTAGTGTTTTTATTTTATTAATTTGAATTATCGTATTATTATATTATTTAAATATATTAAATATTTATGTAGTGTTGTACACGTTCAAAAATATAAATATCATAATTAAAATTGTTACTTTACATTTTGAAAAAGGTATACACAATTTTAATATTTAAAAAGTGGTCACACTGATTTACCTACATACAAATGGTGGACTGATTCTAATCACCTCCCTATATTGACCATGTAAATTTTTATCAGTGTCCATTCTGTGATAGCACCGTTACTTCAAAATTTGATCTACGAGAAACGTATAACAAAACAGGATTACTTGATAAGCCTTCATGTCTACCGTTTTAGCTTCGATGCGAAGCAGAGATAGTCCAGTCATTAAACGATTTTTGGTGGAATTAAATCGGAAAGTTTTGAAACTTTGCAAAAAGTTAGGTTATAGGCTCC